TCTTTACTTAATTTATAGATAGCTTTGTATGGTAGGTCAGATCTACTGATTAAGGTCAAACATCAAAGCAGGTGAAATATGTTACTGGATCCACCATCTTGGTTTCCATGTATTGCAGATTTTTATGATCAAGACACCATCAACATGTATTCAATGTATTTAGTGTCAATTGTTTTAAACAACAAAAATGCTGTTTTCTTGAGAAACAATCAAATTACATAATGTATTATTCCAAATTTCACCTTGACTGTTTTCACTGTTCCCAAGGTGGTTCCTGTTTGAAAAGGTGATTGAAGCTTTGGTGGCTAAACAGATTTATCACAGAAATCTACAACAGCTTCAATACTATGCAAGGAAAGAGTGTTTAATGAAAGATCCAGATGAGTTTGACTCCATGATCAGTTTTTACCATGGCCTGGGCATGATAATCAAGCACCACAGTACAGTTATACTGAAGGCTCAATGGTTGATTGAGCTGTTCAAGCAGCTGATAACCATACCACATTTTGATAAAGTGGTGAGAAAATGTTATGTTTAATAGCCAGGTGATAAGAAAGAAAGACTAACCTGAGTAATTTGGAAGAAACCATGATTTATTTCCTTATTTAAAGATAACAGCTGAATGCAACAAACCCTAATGATATTTTGATCTGCCAGCTTTCTCTTTTCATTTGCACTTTTAATTTGAAATATTGACTAGGTTAAACTGAAAGATTTAAAGTGTTTTCTTGTTTTGCAGCCCCCTTTCAGGGAGGTTAATTTTACAGACAATATTGACTTAAAATGCTACAAGTATGTTATAATAGTTGTAGCCAACTGCAAGCAGTGGTACATCATATTTTGCATTTTGATAATTTTTCTTATTAATAATAACAATAATAATAATAATGATTATAAAGATTACAATTATAATTTCATAGTCTTAAACTTGTGTAAGATCAAAAGCTCTGTGTTGCAGAAGTATTAAGTGTTAAGGGATGGCACATTTACCAGTAACACACCTCTGCTTGTTTATGTTTATTATGTTTGATTTCATTGCTAGATTTCAAAAGTAACACAACGAAACAGTTTGAAATAGCGTCCATTTGTTTGAATTACCTTGCTTTCAGTGATTTTGTATTTCAAAGTGAACTTTGAGCGGTGTTCTCTTACTTATTCCTTGATCCTTTACTCTTTGTCCTTTTTGTCAATGACCTTCCTATAGTTTTAAAGCGATGCAATATTCTGATGTATGCTGACGATACAGTTATGTATTTCGC